CCCCACACACACACACTAAACTAACGATAATTAATATGTCATGCGCGTTCATATGACCTTATGCAGTTGCGAGTGCCGTAAAACATTTTTTTTTTTAAATATCCCTGTCTTTTGCTGGGAGGAGTACATTTTTTCGCGTGTTAAAAACGTGTTGTGAGCAATTACTGGCCCTGAAATTTACCTTCATTTTTTAAACCTGACCCCACAAAAACAGTACATTCCTACAATATGGAAAACATCGGAGGTAATACCAATACCAAAAAAACCCTTTAAAATTAATTAAATGATTTAAGACCATTCGCCCTTATATCCATTGCTTTCAAATGCCTTGAAAAATTGATCCTCTCAAATACTCTAGATAGTGGTAACGGAAATCTGAATCCATTCCAGTTTGCATACAAATAAGAGAGGAAACGAAGAAAATGCTGTTTTGTGACTCTATACTGAAACACCTTGAAACGTCTGAAACGTATACGAGGGTACTTTTTGTTGAGTTTTCCTCATCATTTAATACAATTCAACCTCATATTGTCATTCAAAAAGTTTTTTTGAGTTTGGGAGTTAGTCATTATAATGCAGCATAGGTCCAGGAATTTTTGACAGACAGACCACAATATGTTAAGCTGAACAACACAAAATCCTACCCAATCCTTTGTAGCACTGGCAGTCCTCGGAGGTGTGTTTTGTAACCAGTTTGGTATACTATACATACCAACAATCATTGAAGTAAATTTAAAACAACATGCTTAATTAAGTTTGCAGATGACTCTGCTATTATTGGATTAATAAACATGGATGGAAAAAGAGTATTTCGAAGAAATATGTATGTTTTGATGCCGTTCAAATTTTCTAAAAGTGAACCTTTCAAAAACAAAGGAAATGATTTTCAATTTTAGAAGAGAAAAAGAAAAACCAACAATCCGAACACTTGTAATGAAACAAGAAACAATTGAAATCACGGATTCATTCGAATATCTTGGTCCTACAATCGACAACAAATGTAAATGGCATAATCACGTAATCAATGTCGGTAAAAAGGTTAATCAGAGGCTGTACTTTTTGTGGAAGTTAGGTCTTTCAATCTGAATCCACCCATCCTTCAGATATTCTACGCCACCACAATAGAAACTTTGAAAAAATTGGGTATCTCTTGTTATGGTAGCAATTTCGGAAGAGCACATCATAAAAATAAACAAGTTAATCAAAAAAGCATCAGGAACAATTAATTGGTAAAGACCTAAGTAACTTTGAATATCTGTACAATGCAGACGTTCAAAAAAGGCGGAAATAATGCAAAGTGACCATAGCTACTCTCTGACATCAGAATTTCAATTATCGACCCCGCAGTAAACGATACATTTCCACAAAAAAAAGCAAGAACTGGCAGAAAAATTCATTCGTATCAACTGAGGTTAGGTTACTGAACACACAGTGCTACTAAAGAAACACAGAGAGAGAGAGAGAGAGAGAGAGAGAGAG